AAAAAGAGCCAGGCATGTTGGTGAATGCCTGTAATTCCAGCACCCTGTGAGGCTAAGGCAGCAGGATGAGGCCAGCCTAGAGGACTTAATGACTTAGCGAGACCTTGTCCTGAAATAAGATATATAAAAAAGAAGGGCCAACGAGATAGCTCAGTGGACTAAGCACCTGCTTAGGCAAGCTCAGGGACCAGAGTTCGATCCCAGCACCACATGCAGCTCCAGCCCCAACCCAGGGCACGCTGAGCAAGCCACCAAGACCGGCCATGGTGGTGCATGCCTGTAATCCCAGTGCTGGGGAGGTTGAAAACAGGAGGATCACTACAAGTTCGAGCTGAGTAGTGAGACCCTGTGCCAAATACATATAACTAAATAAATAAATACATAAAGTGTTAGAGATGTAGTTCAGTGCAAAGGCTGTCATTCATCCTCAGTACTACAAAACATTAATTAAAGAAGCTAAAATTTAAAAAGGCTAAGGATGTAGCTCAATAGCAGAGCACCCATGAGTTGCCCAGTACACTGAAAACAAAAACAAAAAACAAAAAACAACTAAGAACACTAAGCTACAATTGTGCTTACTGAGCTTTTTTTTTTTTTTTGTGGTTACCACTGCATTTATTTTCCTACAGCTAATCTTTCTATATCTTCAATTTCAATTTGCCTTAAAGTGAAGGACGAGCTTAAAACTGGATCACTTGACCCTTTCTCTTCTTGTCTCCTCCCAGTTCAAAGTGCTTGCATCTCTTAATGGCCAGCATTCTCTTCCATCTGCAGTTGGGCTCCACACACTCAAGCCTCAGCACTATCTTCTTTGTCGTTTTAGCCTTCTTCCGGAAGATGGGTTTCGTCTGCCCACCGTAGCCACTCTGCTTCCAATCGTAGCGCCTCTTTCCTTGGGCGTACAGGGAATCCTTGCCCTTCTTATACTGCGTCACTTTGTGAGGCTGATGCTTGCCACACTTCTTACAGAAAGTCCTTCGGGTTTTAGGTACATTGACCATCTTGGCGGTAGAGCTGTCTACGCGATGAAAACGAAAAGCCCAGCGACTTAACCCGTCGCCTCGCGCCGCTCGCGCCACACAGGATTACTGAGCTTTTAAAATGATGTGCCAGGCACTTTATTTTTCTTCTTTCTTTCTTTCTTTCTTTCTTTCTTTCTTTCTTTCTTTCTTTCTTTGTTTCTTTCTTTTTTTTCTGAGACAGAGTCTATATGCACTTCAAGCTGGTCTCAAACTCATGGTGATCCTCTTGCCTCAGCCTCCCAAGTGCTGGATGCACTACTATATCAGACTGTGTGTACCTGTGTTTGTATGTGTATATGTGTGCATGCACTCTCATGCGTGTGGGTGGGGGACTGCCCATGCTACGCAACTACCCTACTACTAGCTACACTCCCAGCCCCAGGTGTGGCATTTTTCACAACTTCTTGGAGTAGGCAGATTCTCCCCACTGGAAGATGCTCCCAGTAAGAACAATACCCACAAACAATCTCACTTATATTCCTTACTTTAAATTCTCCCAAGGAACTCCTTTTACGGATGAGAAAGAAGAAGACAAAGGCACTTAGTAGCAGATGAAGCCATTGCTGGGATTTGAATCCACCCCATCTGCTCGTGTCTCCCTTGCACCCTGATTTGGTTTTAGAGTTTAACACTAGACGTCCCTCCAAGAGCCGCATGCATTCATAGGTGGGACTTTTGGACAGTGATTGAATGAAGGGGGCACCATAGCTGATTTATGGCTGGGAGGTGGGGTCTGGTCAGAAGAGGCGGGTCCCGGGTGTGACTTGGGAGAGTCTTTACCTCCCTTCCTGTTCCTTTCCTTCATTCTGCTTCCGACTGTCAAGAAGTAAGCAGCTCTCCTGTGCCCAGGCTCTGCTACCATCGAGGACTGGAACTTCCAAAATGTGAGCCAAAGATAACCTTTTCCTCTTTCAGATTGTACCGTACAGTATCAGGTACTATGATCTAGAAACAAGAAAGTGACTAAGACGGATTAGGGCGCCAGACAAGTTGCCAGGACTCTACCTGACCATGTGGTTGAGAAAAGCCTTTGGAACTGGTTTGCAGGAAGAGTTTAGAAAGCTTTAGAGTTTCTGGTTAGAGGAGCAGCCTAAAATCTTGTAAGCCAAGCTTAGTAATGAGAACTCAGAATCTTGATTTTAAAAAAGCAGATGCCAGGGGCAGGGAGAAGCAGACAGTAAAAACCAGGCTCAGAGGGGGTTAAGCTGGGAACAAGGATTCCACCAGTAGTCAGGCTAGAGATGATGTGTGTTGTGCTCTGGCAGAAATTTTGTCTACATGTTGCTCGTGTCCTGGTGCTTTGTGGGAGAACATGATGAAGAATGGAAGATTAGCCATTGAAGATTTCCCATTGAGTGATGGGGGGGGGCATCATTTAAGAGGAAAATTCAAGGCAGCCCCATGTTCAGGATGTGGGGTGGGTATGGCTTTTCGCCAGCTCTACGGTGATCATCCAGAGCAAACGGTGCAGGTGAATGCTTTCAAATGTTTTTAGTTTCTCCAGAAAGAAAGCTCCTGCAAATTTGGGAATCTGTAAATTGAAGCAAAGGAGAGCTTGCTTGCTGGACAAGATTAGTGGTCTAAAGCCAAATACTTCTGAGTCAGGACAATAGGGAAGGATGCCTCCAGGGCATCCCAAGACACTGCAAGATCTTGCTTTTGTCTTCAGACTTTGCTTGAAGAAAAGAGCCCCAGGGCGCTCTGCTGGAGGCGGGCAGGGCACTAGTGTTGCTGAGGTTCCCTTCAGTGTTCAGCTGTCCAGGTGCTCAGAGGCCACAGTGGCTGTAAGGCAAGGAGGCCCAGCTGCTTACTGCTCAGGCGGGCAGCAGACCTTAGACTTGTCCATGTGGGGCTACTTTTATAGGCATGCAGAATACAAGAGCTGTGGGGTCAGGAAAAGTTCAGCCCATATTTCAAAAGAAGGCCTGGGAGGTCTGCCAATGTGTCCTTGAAGTGGGCTAAGTGCATTTGGCACAAAAAGATGCACCTGAATCTTTTGGAGGCCAGGGACAGATGGCTATGGTTTATACCTAGCTGTCCCCAAGAGCGTCGTGTGCTCACAGGTAGGGCTTTTGGATGGCGATCGTGCGATGGAGGTGTTAGCGCTGACCTGCTGTTAGGAGGTGGGGTCTGGGCAGAAGAGATGGGTACTTGGGGCTTGACCTGGAAGGGTGACCGCCCTCCCAGGTTTCTCCTTTTGTCCTCTCTGCTTCCTGGTTGCCATGCAGTGAGCCACTCTCTTCTACCCAGGCACTTCCACCGTGCCACTGGCCACGTAAGGACTGAAACTTCTAAAATGTGAGCCAAAATAGCCTCGCCTCCTTGAAGTTGTGGGTGCTGGGTGTTCTGTCCCAGCAACAGGAAAGCAATTAAGATACTCAAGGTGTACTGCATGTGAGACAGCCCTTTCCTGTCCAAGCCAGTGTCACTAGTTTTTGACTCTCCCCTACATGGGAGGCACTGGCGCCAAGGCATGGAAGATCCAGAAAGAGCGTAGTTCAGTCCCTAACCCTGATGACCTGCGTGGCCTCAGTCAAATGTTTTAACACCTCTGAGCCTCTGTGTAGGTGAAGCCACAAGCATAACCCCCTGCTCCAGTGTGCTAGGAATTGAACCAAGGGCCTCTGCCGCAACCAATGAGCCCCGCCCCCAGCGCCATCATCAGTCCTTTATGAACAGGGTCTCACTCTGCAATCTGGCGGGTGCCAGAACCCATGATACCTCCTTGGCTGACCTAGAACTTTCCATACTCCTACCTCAGCAACTCTAGAGCTGGATTACAGATGCTCCACCGTACCTAGCTCCAACAACTGCTTTTCTTTACTTTTTTTTTTTTTTTTTTTTTTTTTTGAGGCAGCATCTCACTACTAGTTCAGGCTGGCCTTGAACTTGTGGCAGTCCTTCCTCAGCCTCCCAAAGGTTAGGATTACAAGCGTGGGCCACCATGCCCAGCACCATTGCTTTCTTATAGAGGTGTGGATGAAATTAGGTGACAACTGGGGAAAATATTTTGCAGAATTTAATTAATGTGGCAGAAAGACAATGGGAACCCTCTCAGTGTCTGTGCGGTCAGGCTGGGAGCCTCACGCATGCCTGTGGGCAAGGTGAGCCCCAAAGGAAGGCCAGGAGGAAGGGGAGCCAGAAAAAGAGCCTTGTGGCAAGAAAGGAAAATTACAGGAAATCTGGAGATGTCCAGGTGAACTGAGCAGGGCTGGCTGCCTGGGGCTGAGGCATCGCTCTGCCCTACCTGTCTGCAGGCGGAGCAGCCCTCCAGCTCCCTTACACTGCTTCATAGCATGCTCTGATAGGGCCATGCAATATACTTATCTCTTTCCCAGTTGATGAGCATTTTGATTATTTAATTTAAAAAAAATTTTCAAAAAATGCACACACACTCCTGTCCGTTCCTCCCAGGCCCTTGACAGAACATCGCTGGGAACATTCGCCCAGGAGTTGAGCTGAAACACCCAAGGAGGGCAGGGACACCTGCAGGTTCCCTAGATCTGGCAAAGCTTCCGTCCAGCCCGACTGAGCCAACCCATAGCTGTGCGGCTGAGCGCTGGCATCCTCACGAGGCTCCCACACTGCTACTGTCAGCAGCAGGAGCAAAATTTGCATTTCAGTGTCTCCTGCTGAGATTGAGACCCTTTCCAAAGGACTGTGGACCACTGCTCTCTCTCTCTCTTTTCTTTCTTTCTTTCTTTCTTTCTTTCTTTCTTTCTTTCTTTCTTTTTTTAATGCATTTAGTACAAGGTCTACAGGGTCTCACTACACAGATTGGACTCGGTGATTCTCCCGTTTTCAGTCTCCCAAGTGCTGGGATTACAGGCGCGCGCCACCATGCCCAGTCTCAGTGGCCAGCTCAGCGTGCCCCAGGGGCAGGGCCAGCATAGCGTGCCAGGAATCAAACCCCAGTCCCTGAGTCTGCCTAAGCAGGTGCTTTAATCCTCTGAGCTATCTGCCCTTCCTCCCTCCCTCCCTCCCTCCCTCCCTCCCTCCCTCCCTCTTTCTTTCTCTTTCATTACCAGGAATCAAACTCAGGACCTCACACTAGCCAGGCAGGCGGTATGCCACTCAGCAATATCGCCACCCCATTGTTCTTTCATACCCAGCATTTTTCATATTTGTAGTTTTTTGTCCTTTTTCCTTAAGTAATCTTGCTTGAAATTGTCTGTTTAGTTACCTAAAAAAAAAAAAAAACAAGGGCTGGGGATGTGGCTCAGCAGGCACAAGCGCCTGCCTGAGGCAGGTCCTGCCTCAGGACCTCCGGCAAGGTTCTGAGTTTGATTCCCACTACAAACAAACAAAAAACTAACTCTGGCTTTTGTCAAGTCTTTCTATTGTTTTCCAAGGTCATTAGTATCTGCTGTTATTATTTCTTTTTGTTTGCTTTGGTTTTTGGTTTTTTGAGATAAGGTCTTGTACCTCAGGTTGCCCTTCAACTCACTAGGTAGCCCAAGCTGGCCTCAAACTCATGGCGGTCCTCTTGTCTCAGCTGCAGGAGGGCTGAGATTATAAGCGTGTACCACCCTGTGTACCTTCCGCTCTTATTTCAATTTTCTGTTTTCTATGGATTTATGCTGCTATTTTTTTTTCTTTTTTTTTTGTGGAACTGAGGATTTGAACTCAGACCCTTGCACTTGCCAGGCAGGTGCTTATTCTACTGAGCCATCTCCCCGACCCTTTTACTAAGCCATCTCCCCAGCCCTGACTGAGCCAACTCCCCGGCCCCTTTATTTTTCTAGTTCCGAGAACTCACTGAATTTTTTCCTTAAAATATGAACATTAAGGGCTATGGGTTTTTCCCCCCTTAGCACTCACACACATCTCATAAGCTTTTAATGTATTGCACTTTCTTTTCTGTTTCTTTCTTTCTCTTTTTTGGTACCAGGAATTGAACTCAGCACCTTGGTCTCACAGTTTCGTATCATTTGATTCTATTCATTTTATAACATTCCCTTATGATTTTTAATCCAGAAGTGTATTTTAAAGTTCCTATCCCTGTGAAG